ATAATTGTGTCATGACTTAATTATTTATATGTTTTAATAGTGACTCAATTAATTGCGTCAAATAATTGCATCAATTGCGTCAAGAATCTACAAATTTCAGCAACATGTATATCCTTACCCATAGCAACTCCATTCGTAGAAAATTGCCTTTTTAGGAAGCTTCTTTTTTCCAAAGAACTTTGTCTAGTGGAATATGTCTTTTTGGGAGAGGACATAGACCAGAGGATTAATTTAGAGCAGTAGAGATTTCAAGAATAAGATTGGCCCCTGGAATTTTCAGCAATGGAGCCTATACTAAAAGATCTAGTGACTGGTAATGGCACTGGGCAATAACTTGGAACAGAGAAGATGAATAAAAAGAAAATTTTCTATGTAAAGGTAATCTCTATATACAACTGTTACAAAACAAACACATCTCTCATTTCTAACTCAAAAACAATCACACTCACAAGAGACAGCATTTTATTTTTTTTAGAGTTTTTTTTGTTTTCTGCTGATGGTAACTAGTGCAAAATTTCACATAATCTTCTGGCTAGTTATCAGTCCTCGTTCATAAATTTTAACACAAAAACCGCAACTAGCTTACCTCATTAAATGATCTATAACACACAAAACACCAATCATATTTCATATTACCTCTATACACCAAAACAATATTACAACTTATTGGATTGGAAGAGCACGTGATCAGTGTCCTGCGTGGATTTTGATAATCACAATATATAACAATTCACCAGAACAATATAATAGACATTTGGAATATATTCCAGTTATCCTATTATTTATATCAGAATATAACAATATCACATAACAACAACAACATTATAAAATTTCACATGATCAAATCCATCAAGTTATATATGACTTGTACGGTACTGACATCCGACTGAAACAACTAATTGCATTCAGGAATCACATTTAACAAAAGCTTCAATACTTTCTCTTTCTTTTTCTTTCTACTTAAATATTTTACAATGCTGGTGACCTTGCTCCAAATGTTTTTTTTATTTTTTATTTTTTACAACAAATAGTTCTTCAAGTTTTCCCTGCTCAAGGATTTTTCAAATGATATATGTATTTGTTTAATAGGTAGTAGATTAATATCCATAGCAATATAACTTATATCTTAATATTAATTATGTAACAAGTTAAACTTTTGCTTTATTAATAAAAATCATAAGTAATACCTCACTTTAACATTAAAAAAAAAAAGTTTATTATTATTAAATTAAATAAAAAATCTCTGGGGTTTAATATATTAATTTTCATTCTAAAGTTTTTTAATGACAATAGAGGTTTCCCAGAGGTCTATACCCAAAGATCTTTGAAGATCTTTGCTCAAAAATTTCCTGATAATAATGCAATTATTTTTGAAAATTTTGGGAATTGAGTTAACAGCAAATAATTTATACAATGTAACATATCTTTAAGAGTCAGAATAGCATTATATATGCATCTGACAATTGTTTGGAAATATGTCTTAAACTTGTAGATTATCAAAATAGATCAAATACATTCTAGTAAGGATAGGTCTCTAAACTATTTAACATATAAAATTTTACAGGTCAATTATGTTCTTTTTGAAGGGACATAATTATTTATTCATTACTTTAATAAAGACATAATTATTTATTCATTACTTTAATAAAGACATAATTATTTATTCATTACTTTAATAAAGACATGATTCAAAAAACACTTGAATCAAATGGTCTAAATTGCAAAAAACCTTTGTAGGTAGTTTTTTTTTAATCTTATATTTAAAAAAAAACTTTTTTAATAATAAAAAACATTTGAATTATGTTCTTGCCTTTAATTTAAAGACCCATTTTTATCTTCTGGAGCATTTAAATTGCCAGGCACAGTATAGGTTCCATGACTATAGTTCTAAAAATTGAAATCAAACAGACTTGTATAAACTCATATGAGGTTCAAAATATTATTAAAAATAATGGTAAGTTATAATTCACATATTAAATTTACTATGAATTTGAGAATCGAGAATCAAATTAAATCAAATTGTTAGGATTCTTACCCATGATACAGTTACAGGTCAATATTGTTATAATAAGTTCTATTCAATTGTCTTTATCTGGAATTAAACTAATAGAGTATTAATTACTGCACTATAAATTCATAAGTAAAAATTATGATGATTTAGTTTAATTTAGTTTTAATTAAAACTGAAACTTATTTGATTTATTTTTTTTAAACCAATCCAATCTAAAAATTGTCAATTTTAATTTTTTATAAACTAATTCAATTCAAAAACTATTAGTTTTAATTAAAACTAAATTAAACTAAACCATTATGATTCTTACTTATGGATTTATAATGCAGTAGTTGATATTTTATCAGTTTAATTTCAGATAAAAACAATTGAATAGAACTTATTATAACAATCTTAACCTGTAACTATATTATAGGACCTATACTGTATCTGGCAACTCAGATGCTTTAGAAGATATCTAATTCACCCTGATAATCTATAAGTCTGAAATACATTTCCAGACAATTGTAAAATACATATATGATGCTATTCTGACTCTTGAAGATATGTCACATTGTATACACACCCCTATGGTAAATTACCAGGATTTTTATGTGAGTCAATGAACAAACATTTTTTTTTTTTTTAATTTTATTTAACTTTCATTAATTTATATACAGTCAGCAAAAAAATAAACTATAGTGATTATAATTTATTTTCGCATGATTCAAAATATAATATATTAATATTTTATATTTTTACTTTTAGTCTTAATAATTGCTTTGACATGTTAAGGCAAGCTTAAAATTATGTGCCATACCATTTCAATACTTATTTTTTTCCATTTCTCTTGTATAATACAAATAAATTCTTGTCTAGATATGGATAAAGGTTTTTTTTTCAGATCTAACAATCCAAATGGTCCCACAAATTCTCAATTGGATTGAGGTCAGGACTTTAAGCAATCCAATTCAAGACTTGAATTGCATGTGATTCGAGCCACCAAGCTGTATATTGAGTGGTGTAACAACTGGCACTGTCTTGTTAAAATATGGTGCCTGGACTATTACAAACCCAAGATATAAAATTAGTAACTAAAACGTTTACATAAGCCTTTGAATTCATTGTTTGATCCACGAGTACTAAGTATACTTGCCACCCATATTCTGGGATATTAAATAAGGGATAATCCCTAATGAATTATGACATATAGACTTAATCATTCTAAAAATCCCTATTACATCCTTTTTACGTTATCCCAAATCCCATATACCAAATATAACTATAAAATAAACTTTAATCAAAAAAATTTTTTTAAAAAAAATGACTTCTATTACTAAATCAACTATTCAAGAAATTGCTAGTAACGAAAATACTGAAACTTCTATAGAAACAAAAAAAGGAAAACCATGAGATTTAATATGGGAATACTTTGATGCACCAGAAATTTTAAATAATTTCCATTTATCAGCATGATGCCGATTTTGTTTTAAAATATGAAAACGAGGCAAACCTTATGAGTTAAAAGCACATTTGGCTTTAAAATGTTCTGGTGTTACTCATGAAATTAAATTAAAATATGCACAATTAATAAGTTCTGATAATTTAGAATCTGTGTATAAAAAATGAAAAAAAAACATAATTGAATCAAATTCTTATTTTAATAATGATCAAATAGATATAACAAGAATTTTACAAGCAAATCAAGCATTAGTTCGATTTTTTATTTGTTGTGGAATTCCTTTTTTGATTGTTGATTCTCCTTATTTTCATGATTTTACCAAAAGTTTATGCTATAATTACAAGCCACCAAAGCATACTACAATATCAAACCATCTTTTGGATACTGAAATTGCAAATATTACTTTAAAGATTGAAGAAAAAATACAACATGCAAAAAATTTAACTTTGTGTAAGTAAATTTAATAATTAAACTATTTAATTTTTTATATAAAATTAATAATTTTTAATTAAAAGGTGTTGATTCTTGGACAAGTCCTCTTGGTCAATCTATTTATACTTTTGTATTAATTATACCATATCGGCATCAATATATATATTCTCTTAGTGATTTTTCACACAATCAGCATACAGCAGCATTTAATCAAGAGCAAATGTTAAAGATTATCGATAGTATTGGCAAAGAAAAAATTATAGCAATTGTATCAGATACAGAAAGTGCAATGATGGCAGCAAAGCGATATATTATAACTGTTCATAAACATATTATGGCAGTACGATGTATCGCATATCATATTAACTTAATTATTAAAGATATAACATCATTGCAATGGACAAAAGATATATTAAGTAAATGTCAAAATATTGTCTCATTTTTTCATAATGCACATTATACAGGAGCTGCACTACGAGATGAAATTATTAATTCATTAGTATTTGGTGGAAATTTAAAATCTTCTACAAAAACACATTGGAGTACTGCTTAGGATACTTGTGAATTGATTTTATGTCTTGAAACAAATATAAAATTCGTAAGTTATAATTTTTATTATATTTAAATTTTAAGTTTATTAATTTTATATGTCTATTTAAAGATACTTGAAGAACAACCAGATATTTTTATTAATGCACATATTACAAAAGCAATTATTCAAAATCGACAATTTTGGCTTGATGTTGAACAGCTAAAATTACTTTTAACTCCAGCAAAACGTGCAATCAAAGATCTTGAGTTTAATACTACTACATTAGCAGATTGTTTTTTGGAACTTATTAAGATGGCACGAGCAATTTCTGAAATTTCATCTATTCAAAATACAAATTTACAAAAATTATGTATTGCAATATTTAATAAATGATGGAAAGAATTTGATATAGATATTTATTTATTGGTATTTTTTTTACATCTGAAATATAGAGGTAATTATTTAAATTATTTTTTTAAATTTTTATTTAATAATAATTTTTTGATTTATTTTTTAGGATCTTGTTTTCAATACAAAATTTTTAAAAATATATCAAAAACTGCATTTATTCTTTGGAAAAATCAAGGCAGTGAAAAATTAAGTTCTGATTTATTATTGGCACAATTGGGCTTATATCGAAATAATAAAAATCCTTTTGATGATCTGTTTGTAGAAGGTACTTATACGCTTATGAATTGGTGGACATCTATAGAACTTAAAAAAGGTAAAGATCATATTTGTAAATTGACTTTAAAACTATATGCAATTATTTCACATAATGCAGCATGTGAAAGAGTATTTTCAGTATTGGGATGGTATCTCAATAAATGAAGAACAAAGTATAAATTTTAATAATTAATTATTTTTTTTTTTAAAAAATAAATATTAATATTTTTTTTAATTTTATATTAGAATTAATATTCAGCGATTACAGTCTATGGCACAAATATATTCATATCTTGTTATGAATGCAAAAACTGAGCTAAAATATGTTAATGAAGAAATAACTACCAAAGAACTTGATGAAACTTTTAATCAAATTATTTCATAAATGATAAATGATAATGATTTTTTTGATTAAAAAGGTAGATCAGAAGAAATCATTGATATTAACAATGATTATAACTTTAATGAAATAGTTGATTTAGCAGAAGAAAACAACAGTCAATTAGATATAGCCGAGAGTATTGATTTGCAATTTACAATATTATCAGATAATATTATATCTGAATGTGATGAGGAAGATTATGGAATTAATCATAGCGATTCAAATTTTGACATCAATGAAATGATTGAAAATATTGAATAATTTAGCATTAATAGCATTTAGATAATTATGTATTGGTTATTTTTTCAAATATATTGAATTTATTGTTATATTATATTGCAAGAATCTTTAAGAATTATATTTAATTTTTTTTTATTTAGGTTATTCATATTGAAAAAAATAAAAAACAAATATCATTATAATAGTAGAATAATATTTTTACATTATACAATTATATTTGAGTTTAAATAATATCATTCAATTTAAATGTTATAGCAATGGTATTTGATCCAAAATTTTCATGGTCTTGTACAGGTAGGTTGCTAAGTCTAATAACAATGTGAGCGGATGTTCCAACTTGGTTGTTAATATCACTATTCTGTTGTTTAATTCCCTTGTGGTGGGTATGGTTTCAGATCATTCAGGATATCTCTACTGCGATTCAAGGTGTATCGCATCATCACTGCACACTTAGATTTCAAGATGGTACTCTCGATCGTATTTTCATGCTTGATCAGTAGTCCTGGATTCTCTTTTTAAACCATCTTATAAATCATTATCATTATGCAAAGTACTATTTTTGCAAAAACACCTGAATATATTATCACAAGCTTCCCCTTAAACTCTTATATAAACACATCCATAACTTATTGCCATTATTTTAGAACAGTGTGTTGCCTAAGCATCTCATTGCTAGGCGCATACACTCTCCAGGTAATAACAAATACAGTTTTCTTCTCAAACTTTGATTTATCGATATATCACCTTTAGTGTTGACAAAATGTCACACCATCTCAGAATACCCTAACCTTTGAATCATTCTTCCAGAAGCTTTTTTCTCTTTGATACAATCCTTCTTGTATTACTCTGACAATATTTTTATTGATACCACATCTTGTCCCTTTACTAACACCTTCTTTTGTTCAAATCGCTCTTTGGGTCTTTTTTCTGTTCTAATCTCTTTGACTTGTTCAGTCTCTGGTTGATCTTCTTCGAGCAGTGTCAACAGTTTTCTAATTGTTCTGTGGGGTCTGAATTATACATGTGACATAAATTATTTTGCTGTTGACTCAATTTCCAAAATCCTCAAAAATAATTGTGTCATGACTCAATTATTTATATGTTTTAATAGTGACTCAATTAATTGCATCAAATAATTGCGTCAATTGCATCAAGGATCTACAAATTTCAGCAACATGTATAGTCTGAATCATCGGAGTACCATTTAATTCTGGAATCTTCCTTCCTATCCTTTGTTATCAGCAAATTTAGCACAGGCGTGCAATGCGTCCTGTTGTTACGTATTGTGAGAAAATTAAGGTGAGAAAATCAAGTGGAAATAGCTATGAAAGCGAATTTCTAGAATAGTATAGAAAAATAAAAATATGTAAACATGTAAATATAAGTGCATATATAAATACATTTGAAGTTCTATAGCAGAAGATTTTTAGCTTATAGCATTTTAATAATAAATAAACTACTCTTGAGAATAATCTCTTAAATTGTGTCTTTATTTTAACTGTCTAATTAAATGCTATTAACTTGCTTACGTGACTATACGAACTAGAGTTTGACCAGAAGGATTGAGGAAGTTCTAGCGATAGTATAGTTTGAGTATAGGACATGAGATGTAAAGTTAGGAAGTGAAACAAGGTCAGCCAAATCATGACATGCCTCAAGAGTTTAAAATCCAACGTTACATGAAGACTATATATAAATATTTAATGGCAAACTTGCTGGAAACATCCATAACACAATTTCTTCTTGGCTCTTGTTGCCAGCAGTTTTTCCATCTATGCAATGTTTTGATCTTTTATAATCATTTTTATTGGCCCACAACATTCCTTTAATTTATCCATACCTTTCTCCTCAGTTTCGTTGGCCTTAACTGATCCTACTTTGGCCATCATCAATATTTTTTCAAATTGGAAGGAATACGCTGCAAGGCCTGAGATCTCTGGTCATACTTCTTCATTAAAGTTGGAATCACTACTCATTTTTCCTGTTACATCTTCATCTTCTTCGAAGGATATTAGCCATTTCTCTTCATAATCATTCGTCTTTCCTTTTTTACCCAAACTTTCATTCCCTGACTTGTTTCTCGTTGTTCGTATAAAATCTCTTACTGCCAATCTCATAAGTCTGTACCCTTTTGGTTTTATCATCTGAGATCGGTGTCTTCTTCCCACAGATGCTAACAATTTTTATTTATTTCTTAGGTTGGGCTTTCCTTTGACTCAGATATTCCCATTGGGTCGTAACAATAATACGATTTGATAGAGTATCATCATCATCGTTATAAGGATTTTCTTTCCAACTAGTGCTAGGCTTTCTGATTACATTATTCTTTACCAAGCAATCTTTATTGCAGTGTCCTTAATTTAAGATTAACGTGAGAAATAGGCACATTATGACTATTTTTCCTTTTGCATGCCTGCCGATTCAATTCTCAGATGTAACTTCTTATTCTTCTTTCCTTATTTAATCTCCTTTTAACATTGACCCTGGCCTCTATTGCTATCTTGAGTACTTCCACTAGATTGGTTGCACTTATTACGACAGACATGGCTAATAGGTCTTCCCATAATCCAAGTGTAAGCATATATTCAGCCGTTTCTTTATGATGGTTGCCCTTAGGATCGACCTTCTCGAGTAGCCTCACAAACCTACGAGCATACTCAATAATTTTTTCATTTCTTTCTTGTTTTATGTTCTCTAAATCTTCTTCCTACTTGTGCCTTTGCTCGAGCATCTTAAAGTTTTGCACGAATGTTGACACGAAACTATTTTCACAATCGTATTTGTTGTTACATCAGATAAAATAGTCTCAGTTCTTCTTATACCAATCCAATGTGACTCTATCTAGATACTTACCTACTGTCCAGTTGTTTTGTTTAGTGGCTTCGTTATAGAGTTTTATCCATAGTTGTGGGTCTTCCTCTATTCTGCCTTCAAATCTTTGAATTCTGGATTTTTGGATCCTCTTTCTTTTCACTTTTGTTTTCCGTTTTCGGTCCGTTTGAATGTTTACCAATTTTTTTGGAATATTTCATTGTGAGAAGGTAAGAGGATCAATTTTCTCATTATCTGTTGCATCATATTCAATGTCAATTGATCACAGTATCATGGGCTTGTCATGGGTTTTGTATGATCATCCTAAAGAAGGTAACGTTTTGATTTCTCAACAATCTCTGAATTTACTACTCTTGACTAATACAGAATTTTCTCTCTCCTATTTTCCATACAACTAATACAATCATCGTTCGTGCAATTTGTCAGGGTAAAAACGTTCCTATCTCGTCACCGGTGAGTCTATTGCTAAAACTGCTCACTCTTCGCGTAATGATAATTCAAACGCTTGGATTTTGGCACCAAATAAAGGTAAGTCTTTAATTCTGAGGATCAAATTTCTGTTATATATATTAATAATAAATAAAGCTAAAAATTCAGATATAAAAAACATTTTGCAAAAATATAGACTTACAGTAGGCATTATAAATATCCGGAATTTTGATCTGACACGCGAAAAGTCTTATTGCGCGTTATTGTATAATACAAATATATATATAAAACAAATTTTTTATTAAATTAAAATTTGTTTATATATTTTTTTTTATAAAAAAAGTTTTTTTTTTATCTATTAGTAAAAAAATCGACATAAATGTCACCTTTATCGAAATTCGAAACGCAAAGAATGGTTGTAAGTCAGCTTTGGGCGAATAACGTCCAGAAACCTGCAGAAATAATTCGTATAACAGGTTATCCAAAGTTTACAGTTTATGACTTAGTCAATCGAATCAAGAAAAGATCTTTCGTTACACCACTCCCCATACCTGGAAGACCCCCAATTCTTGCACCCCACAACTTCGTCACCTTGACTGGATAGTACAGACCAATAAAGCTGCTACTGCAGCTGAAATGGTTGAAAGACTTACTCACAAAAACCCCCACCTAAAAGTTTCTGTTCGTACCATTCAACATGTCTTAAAAAAAACCCTCCAGTTTGCCGTTTGTCGGCCACTTTTTGTCCCTCTTCTTCAACCTTATCATGTCATCGCCTGCTTTGAATGGGCCCAAGCTCATGTCCACCACGACTGGCATCACACGATTTTTTCCGACGAGACTATTTTACAAATGTTTCGGAACACTCAGTTAGTAAGGTACCACCGTGGGGAGTCACGACCACATCGTAGTATGGTAAAACACTCCTATAAAGTTCATGCATGGGGTGCATTTTCAGCGCGAGGCCCTATCGCGCTAGTTTTATTTACAGAAAATTTCAATTCAGATAAATACCAAGAAATTCTCAAAACTAATCTTTTTTCTAAACTTTCTAGGCTAGATTGTCGGAGGTTTTTTTTTCAACAGGATAACTCTTCTGTGCATAATTCAATTAAGATGTGTCGTCTCCTCGAAGATCAAAGTATCCGAGTTCTCGATTGGCCTGCATATTCGCCAGACCTCAATCCAATTGAGAATTTATAGGCAATAATTAAAGGAAAGGTCGAAAGAGAGTCGAACTTACGTCTAGTAAAAAAAAAAAAACTTTCTAAGAATATTTTTCAACGTATTATTTGTCAGTCGTGGGAGGATTTAAAAAAAGACCTATTTCTTAGATTAGCGACATGTATGGAAGATCGTGTTTTAGAGGTGATTAATCGAGAGGGGAGAAAGTTAGACAATTAAAAAAAATTTTTTTTATTAGTAATCATATTTAATTATGTACATATGAAGTTTAAATGATTAATAATAATCAAAAAAAATTTTTTTACTTACCGCAAAAAATTCCGGATATTTATAACGCCTACTGTATTTTCAAGGTATGAATTTTATATGCGCCTTTAAAGCATTAAGTATTATATCATTAATATTTCTTAGTTTTCTTTG